ATTTATTAGGTACCATTCCAGAATATATAAAGGGTATACCTATAATAAACTTACATATAAAGGGTATACCCATAATAAACTTACATAATATATCCGGTATATTTCCACAATTTAATAAGCTTTTTTAAATGACTTATCAAGTAATTTTGCACAATATATTAAGTTTACTCGCGTAATGTATTAATAATTAAAACTACCTAATTTGTTGTCTTAATGATTACATAGTAAATATTGTAATTTTGAAAATGACATAATTTAATGTTGGTTACAAAATTGCCAACGTTATATTCTGTAAATTTACAAAACTGTTTTTGCAGTGCATGCTACTCGAAATAAAACCGCATAAAACACAAAAACATTCCTATTTAGTTCTTAAAAATTATATCTTACCGTCTCCTGATATTAAGTTATTACAAAGAATAAAATATTTTTTCTAAGATTTCTAGATTATTTATAAAATTGTGTTTTGGTATAAAATTACTGACAACCAGTGATACTTTCTTGTATTGTTAGTTGCATATGCATAACTTCGTTCATTTTTTTGTGCTGATTTAGAACGAAAAATAAGGACCAAAACAACATTATTACTAGGTTGTAAGTTTAATCAAACTCTATTTTTATATAGTCAACCTTCCCTTCTTGGTGACATAATGAATTTTTCGTAACCAGTTACATAATGTTCGACATTATTCAACTAGTTACGTAAAGTAGATCGTTTTGACACTTGCTGCGATTACATAAAAATGCCACTTTATATGTCAAAATTAGAATAAAAAGATGTTTTTGTTTAATTTAACCAGTTACATAAAGTTTAACATATGTAACTGATTACGAAAAATTCATTGTCACCAGTTGTCAACAGAGAAATAATTCCTTTTTTTTTTAAATAAACCTTTTTTATTTTTCTATTTGTTTAATAGGTTCCTGATTGTTACCCTTATTTATGACTTAGTTACAATTAGGGTTGCTACCTGTCCTTTTTTGAAAAGGTCAGTCCTTTTTTCACACAAATTGTCTTTGTATCTTTTTCTTTTTAAAACTTAAAATGTATTTTTTACGTCACATGTCCTTCAAAAGGACCCGGTTTATAAAAATATAAGCTGAGGACTTTTTTTTGAAGCCTTACAGAAGGACCAGGGGTTTATTAAAAAAATATAAGCTGATAACTTTTTTTTTTGTTTAAAAGATCGTCAAAAATACTTGGTTTTTTAACCGGATTCTCTATCGCCACCGTTGTTGTCCCGCTTTCCCCTTTCGTAAATCTGGCAACCCTAACTATCTAAACAAAGTTTTTTCGAAATGTCCTTTATTCACTTTTCACAAAGGTGGCAATCGTCCTACTCGCCATGTTCTCCTTGCTTTTTGAATCTCTATTTCCTCTATTATTAATTTTATTGGACTCTCCCTAAAGGGTTTGGGGCTCATTTAGAAATTGTGCCTCAAATTTTTTTGGGCAGATGACCCCTGTGATATTGTGTTAGTGGTATGTTCCGTTTACTTATAGTTTTAGGTGTATTCAACTTCAGTTTTGAGATGTATAATAGTCAAACGCTTAAATAAATAACACTGTCGTTTAGATCTCTGTCAGACTAAATCTGACAGAAATTGTCAGTCCGATTACACTAGTACAAACGACAGCTATATTTCTCTCGTTTTTTAATAATTTCTAGCGAGTTAATTGTATTTTTTTTGTTTCAGAACGGTTCATGGCCGGGATATCTGGTTCGGCAGGCATCCATGCTCGCCTCCTGTACTCCCCTTTCGCCCGTCATCGACAGCGTCCGCCGCCGCCTCGACAACGTCAGTACCCCAGGCACTCTTCGACCAATTTTCTAAACCCCACCCCCTACCACAATCCTTTTACAAACTGTACTTAACCGAAGAAGAAATATATATCCATATATATAAAAAAATAAGGATACGTTAAATTAGTCCACGATTTTTTTCTACCTCTGCAATATTTATATAAACGTATTTTATAGTTTTTTACTGTCTTTATATACTTAAACGTAGTTTTAAGATTGAAGTGACCTTATTTTATTACCAGAAGTACTTAGGAATTTAAAGAAAAAGAAGAAACATATTTAACTATTTTACAGTTAAGTGACCTTATGTTAGCATTGAATTCTGTGCCGTCAACTTTGTACCTGTGCCCGCTTTTATCCTGATCCTTTATTCCTAAAAAATGGTGGGCAGATCCTCGTTTAGAGGCAGTAGTAGGACACACGCAATAGGTAAGTTAATACATTTTTATCATTACATTAATTTTCCAATACATAAATAATTTTCTACGATCTGGCAACGTTGCGATTACGGTTCGATTCGTTCAAACCCGCCAGTAGCGTCACTGAAATTGTTGGAAGTAATTAATTACAAATCGATAAAATTCATGACTGTAGTGGCATTTTTGTTTCGATACTTTTTAGTTAAATTGTAAAGGGTTTTATTGCTTTTTGCTTTGAAATTTAATTTCAGAATCACAGTAATGTACTTTATTTTATTAATTTCTTACATTTATTTATGTTGCAAGCTCAGAATGGAAAACAGTGTTTTAAAGATTGATTTCAATGGATGCAAAAGAATATATATAATTTATTTATTTGTAAATTAGTTGTTTAGCTTGATTTCTATTTGTAGTATATTGTTTAGTAATCTATTGGACATTGCTTATATTTTTATATTCAATAAATTATTACACTATTAGAATAATTCACGAAGTTCCCGTATTTTAAAATCAGTTCTTGTTTGTAGAGTTGTGAGGTGTGGACATTATAGGTTAAATTTGCCCATTAAAAGTTATCAAAAGCTGCAATTTTCTAATAAAGAGGAGGAGAAATTAATAGATCTTCTTCTGTTTTTCTTGTTTCAAAAATGGTTGTCTTGTTCTTCATTTTTCAATGGTTTCATGAACTCGTCTTGGTCATCTGCAAATTCTTCCTCTACTAATAAATATTCCAGAAAATCCTTCATCCATCATATTGAAATTTATAATTTCCGTCGAATTAAAAGGTCATCAGAAATGTTGAAAAAATTTCGTCGACGATTTTCACTACAGTATGTTCTTAAAAACCAAGGCCATTTAATTTGACGAAATTTATAACTTTTCTGGAGATGAAAAAGGCGAGTTGCTACTAAAACTATTGAAAAATGAAGAACAGATCTATTTATTTCCCCCCCACTTCATTGAAAATTTCAGCTGTTGGTAACTTTTATAGTGACTGCAGACAAGAACTGACGAGAAATGACAGCAGAATTATGCTGAACCCAATTAATGTATTTGATAACAACGAACACTAGACGCATATATAACAGATTTTAAAAACGGAAGGCTTTAAAATTAAATTTTTAAATACGGTGAACTTCGCGAATGCATTCCGTGTAGGAACTTCATCGGTGATATTCGCGAATGAATGTTCTTAAAAACCAAGTTATACGAATTCCGTCGACGAACTTTGTCGGTGATTTTCGCGGCGGATTATTCTTAAAAATCAAACCTTCCCTTTTCCTTTATACATAGCCTCATGTTTGTATTAAAAAAATCTAATGTGTCCAATACAAGACTTTCATGTGCCTAAAGTTATTACTTCCATGTACCTAAAGTTATTATAGGCTTATACTTTTCTTCTGAATACAGGAAATATTTGATTTAACTAATAATTGTTTACTGTTACTAGATGCGTACGTAAATGCAAGTCTATAAAACATTTACAAATTTACAAAATGTATTTTGAAGGTTATGTATTTAATTTATTATTTATATTAATTGCAAATTGATGCGACACTGGTTATAGTGTACGAAGGCCATTCTACTCGGAACCCAAACAAACGCCGTTTTCTAATATTCATCGATGTCATCTAGATTTCATCAAAACGGTTCTTTTATCCGTCAAAATTTTTTAAATTACTCATACATCATATTCTTAAATTCAACCTAATTCTCAGATGGTTATCCGATCAACTCGATTATGTTGATGCACTGATGGATCAAGTAACATAACCTTAAATTATATTATTAATTAATATTAAACAGATAAAGAAATAGGAATAGTTTGCTCAAAATTCTTAATAATATGAATAAAGAAACTCACTGGGTTTTTTTGAACCAACCTATAAGTGGGCTTACTTTTAAAATAAGATTATTAGCGTTTGATATACTGCAAGCAAATGAAGGCAAGTACATAATTTTTCAATTATTGTATTGCCTGCACTTGTCTTTAGTTTGTATGCTTATCAAAAAAGTCTTGGAATTGTTTGTTTTCATTAAATAAAGATAGTTTGACTGTTAAGATTACAAAATCACACATATCAGTCATTCTCAAATAATTTTTATCAGATAAAAATCAGCATTGCAGCAGTCGGCCATATATTGGTCACGTGATTCATCCTCAATACATCATTTTGTTGAATATTAGAAAACGCCTTATATATGCTTGAAGAAAACCGAATGTCCTACAATTTGGGGAAAAAATTCCTATAACAAAATATTCCCTTAAAACATGCTTAAAAATGATTTTAAGTCCGTAATTTTCTGTTAGGTAGCGCAATCTAACAAAATGTTGTAATTAGATTTTTTACAAAATATTCTTAAATTAAGGTTGGTAAAAAATATCAGCTTTACAAACTATTGCCCCAGTTCTACAACTTTTTTCATTTTTCATTATCCGATGTTATTATAAAATGTTTTATTGTTGTAAAATATTATTTGTAAATTAAAGATTAAAATCAGGTTATCTTAATCTTGTAAAACATTTGTTTATACTATTAAAATGATCCAACAATTTAAATTATATCATTACATTTTACAAAATCAATAATTTATACCCATCGAAAATAATGTAGATGCGCCTATGATCGAGAATTCCGAGTGCGAGACCAGTTTGTTGACATAGTGGCATCTATCGATGATTACCCGCAATCACGTCTGCGGATAAAGAAGGAAATTTTGGCGTGAAGGAACCGCTCGATGACATGAATAATTACTTTATTACCGACAATTCACACGGGATTTTATGTCGTAATCTGACAAAACAAAGCTAAAAAAAATTTTTGACACATTCATCGAAAGATGATCGAATATGTGGTGTGAATTTATAGCTCCAAACAAATATCATGCCGTAGTGCAGTGAAAGTTGCGAAAAGACATTATTGGGACGTTTAGTTATGAGCTAACGCAGTTTATGTACTTGAATAATTCAATAATCTACTCGTCGGTTAACAATTAACTACATAATAATGGAGATATCTTTAAGAAAACTTGAAGGTTCGATTTGGAAATGAATTAAGAAACATTAATTCATCTACAATGGATTATGAATTGGAGGTGTTCGAAGTGTACGACGATAGCGATCAGCAGACTTCGAAAAGGCACTCGAAGCACACGAGAAAAAAGTGCAAACAGAAACAGAAAGCCGCAGTTTTAGGTCTCGAAAGTACTGATAACGACCTTAGTAAATCTAAAAGTAGTGTTTTGGGCAGTGATAGAAGGCACTTGAGTGTTAGGGAATCCATATTAAGTGTGTTTACGAAATTGGTAGTTTGGCGAGATCAACGGCGCTACCAGACCACTGTTCCTGACAGAATTGATTCACCTCATACTTCCAAAGACTTCCGAAAAGGCTACATACCTTGTGGTGAGTCAGTTCTATTCAAAAAATCTTGTTTATTCTTATCGAAACCGAACGAACATATTCAGAATTTTTACTAGATTATTCTAAACCTAGCAGCAAAAATAACACTATAGGTATTCCAACAAAAATTGAATATTTTGTCTTTTTCATAAAATGGATAAAACCACTTTTAGCAGTAATCAAAATAACTAAGGGACAGTGAATTTTTCTTTAAATACAGAAACATCAAATGAAAATTCATAAACAAATCATAAATAGTTATCCTAGCTACCATATTATGAAAATAAAAATTACGATCTGCCTCCAAAATATTTAGAAAGTAAGTAATTATAAGGCATTAAACTCAAATCCTAAATTCACTAATACTTACCAAGTACATGTTAAAACCAAGGTTAAAACCAAAATTTTAAACATTTAACAAGTCTCTTTTTTTAAATAACCAATACAATTTTTATCTGCATCATATACCAGATGGAGAAAGGGGTACCTATCATACTTCAGACATGGACATTGTTTTTCGAAATGGTTTATTTATATTTTATAAAAATTATATATTGGTTAAATCTTAATAAATCAAGCCTTTTCCCTGTATGGCATATACTATACTAACATTACATTATCTATGAAATGACCTGATATCATTCTTATTCCAAATAGTTTGGCATGCTACACATTTCCTCACCATCCTAAATGTCCTCATTCTTAAAGGTTATGTCCAATATTTACATATGATACAGTTGTAAAAGTAGCTAAATAATCTTAAGTTATTGTAATTAATAAAAAAACTCATTATGATTCATTAGTTAGTTCTTTCTAATATTTTATTAAAAGGAATAATACATTTTTTAATAAAAATTTAATGCAGTATATTTGAAAGATGAGATCTGACATATGAAGAGAGTGTACTGTTAGGATGATGTTGCAGACATATTTAATGTTAACAAGGTATATCTGTTTTCTCCAATATCTTTGAGGTGAACTTATCTAGATAAAACCACTAACATGTCTGTTTATTAGCTGATATCAGAGTATTCTCTACAATATCAGGTTCAACTGTGACCCATAAGTCTATTTTCAAATCTGATTAAACATGAAAATTCTGGTCAATATACCATAAAGTTCCACTTATTTTCATTGCTAACCGCAACTGTACTTCTACATGAAGTATAAACTTGATAAGTATTGTTAAATTTAATTGTATTGAATAATATTTAGTTATGTGCATACACCTTGTTTTTATCAAACAAAAATGAAATAATTTAAGATTTTTTGTTTGGTAAAAATCGGATAAGTACCTATAAAAACTATTATTTACAAAAATATTGGTCTCAATAGAAGTCTTAACCTGATTTCTATCACACAAAAAGTATAGTTTATAATTTTTTTTAAAGATCAGTGCAGATATCAGTATCTTGCAGGTAAACTGCACTATGTAGACATAGTTAATTTTTATAAAAGTTATATTTTTAAACACAGCTCATCGAGATCTTTCCAGATACCTATATGATACACAATGTACTAGCGAGGTCACAATAAAAGTTAACCAAAAAATCTAACCCTATGTTCAATAAACTTAAGGGTAAACACTACATGCATGTGTTTTTAACTCAATGATTCTCTAAAATGTTGTAGGTATATGATACAAGTCATAGAAAATTTGCTATCAGAACATAGAAATATGTCATAAAAACACCGGCATGACAACAGCCATGAGTTTCATTTTATTCCAATTTAAGCAGGCAAAGATATTTTAAGTATTTAATATAAGGGCTGGATTTGAGGGCGATTTCAAGCCCGGCAAAATATTCTGAGATTTACATCAAATAGAATACATAAATACAAGCTAATTTGTTTATAAAAAAATTAATTTACTTGCATTTTAAGCCAGTAAAGATTTTTTAGATGTTTAATATAAGGGGTTGATTTGAGGGTGATTTGCAGCCTGGCAAAATATTTTGAGACATACATTAGGTTGAGCACATAAAGATTATCAAATTTATATAAAAAAAGTTAAATTTTATTTCAATTTAAGCAGGCCAAGATTTTTTAAGTGTTTAATATAAGGGCTGGATTTGAGGGTGATTTCCTGCCTGGCAAAATATTCTGACATATACATCAAATAGAAGACATAAATACAAGCTAATTTGTTTATAAAAAAATTAATTTACTTGCATTTTAAGTCAGTAAAGATTTTTTAAATGTTTAATATAAGGGTTTGAGGGTGATTTACAGCCCGGCAAAATATTTTGAGATATACATTAGGTTGAGCACATAAAGATTATCAAATTTATATAAAAAGTTTCATATTATTTCAATTTAAGGAGGCCAAGATTTTTTAAGTGTTTAATAGAAGGGCTTGTTTTGAGGGTAAATAATTTTTTGTAATTTAGATACATACGATTTATTACAGTTTGTTTACAATAAATTAATTCTGGCTAAGCCATGGATTCACGGCCCAGCCATGGATTCACGACCCAGCCATGGATTCACGACCCAGCCATGGATTCACTGGATTTACAGACCAGCCATGGATTGATTACCGCTGGCGCTTTGGTTCTCGCAGTCAAATTCATGGCTGGAACTCGTGGCTGTTGTCACGCCGGTCATAAAAACCAACAATTTATGCAATTTAAAAAAAATAGGAAGTTTTATTAGTTAGATTAGTAAAGAACAGGGTTGTTTTGTTAAAAAATAATGTTTAAAACTTTCAATAATGATTTAAACAGATTTATTTTGAATCAGTTTAATTTTAAATAAATAAGCATTATTAGTTTTATATGGTTAAACATTTTGTTATTCAAGGGTGCAACTTAGTATAGCATACAAATGAAAAAAACGCTGTATGAGTTTATGTGCTTGATGGCAAAAAAAGATATTCTTCTCATAGCTCCTGGCTTAAATGAACCCCTAAAACTGTAATCTAATGAATTAGTTAAATGATGCACAGAAGTCATTGCTATTTTAAATCTTTTTGAAAAATTATCTAGGTCTGAACTAGTACAATTTTCATTTTCAGCAGATTCACTAATTGTACAAATATTTTTTGAACTCTATCTATGTTATGTAGGGAATGGGGTGTTAATACACTGCGACCTAAAAGATCTATTGTGCCCCCTTCTGTTGCTAATGCACTAAGGAAATGTCTCAATGCCTATAACGACCGTTCCAATCCTATTTTCTCAAGGAAGTGTAGGATTTGGAGTGGCTTCAAGTTAGGTAAATCTCCCTCTTCTATTTGATATCCTCCTAAATATAGTGCCCTTGGATTATGGAGTGCTACACATTCAGTTAGAATGTGAATGGAGGTTTTGTTTCAATGGCTGTTTATGTCAGTGTCAAACGTCTTCGCTAAGTCGATAAAAACACTTATAATTTTATAAGTGCTAATACCTTTTTGGAAGCCATACTGTTTAAAATTTAAGATCTTTTTATCAATTAAATAGTCATATAATCTATTTTTTAAACATTTTTCAAATAATTTTACAAAATTTGTAATCAGGCTTATTGGTCTGTAAGTAATTTGATATATCCTTTTTTAAAAATTGGAGTTACAATTGAAGTTTTAAATTCTTTTGGTATGTTACCTGTTGCAAAGATTAGATTTATAATGTGTATTAGAGGCTTTACAATGAACTGGTGGCAATCATTCAACAGGTTAGAAGTAATTCCATCGTTTCCTGGAGAACTGTTATTTTTCAGTAATTTTATATGTTTGATTAATTCATTTTGACTGACAGGTTTTAAAGCCATTGAGTAAATTAGGGGGTGGATATCTTATTTGAAAGTCATTTCGAGAGCTGGTGATTTTGCTTGCCACACTTCAAACTGTGTAATTATGTCTGGCTCTGGCAGAGTTTTATTGATTAAATTAGTAAGGAGAGTAAATACTCAGATTTGTGGCTTTTGTCTTCTGTATCAGTAGTGTCAATCAGATATACTTTTTCTTTCCATATCAGTTACAGAAACACACACTATCATGTCATTTCTTATGTTACTCCAACCGTCAATAGACATGCATACATTTTTTTTAGATAATTCTTTTTTTATTACTATATGTAGGGAACCATATACATTGCAAATAAGTTTGTTTCTAATCATTTGCCGATTTGGTGACTGATAATCAGGGTGCAAGATTTTTATTAACTTTTGATCTCGGTATGTTCCACCGTTCTAAAATGCACAGTTGATTCCATGAACAATTGGATGTCAGAATAGTTCTGATAATGAGAAGCTGAAACAAATGATGTGTGATAAACTGGCAGACTCCTATGATGTAGAAGAGGTATCTGGATTTTTTCCTAGGTTATGAGTAGTGGGTATGACAGGGAATTTTTCAGAGTCTGATCTGTGCAATCATATTCTAAATGGTAATTCTAGGATATTCTCGGGCGACTCATATTTAAAAATATTAAAAATATATCCAACAAAAAAGCAACCTAACATTTGGCAGTCAGTCATACAAGTTACTAAGGCGGTATATGAGAGTGCATTGAATTCAGGAAACCTATTTGTCGGTTATGATAGTTGCGTAGTATATGATGCTGTTGAACTATTCCGCTGTTATAAATGCAATGAATTTTCTCACTCCTCGCGTAATTGCAATAAGGCTGTTTCCTGCCCTCTATGTGGAGAAGCACATGAATTGAAAGACTGTAAGTCTAGCGTCAAAAAATGCTCCAATAGTGCGAAACTAACCAACAAGAATGTTGACATCAATCATACGGTTTGGGAAAAAGAAAAATGTACAGTATATTCCGAGATGTATAAAAAATTTAAAGATAAGTTATTTGTCACAATTTAGCAATCAAATATTTCGCATACTCTCCCCGTACATGTTCCACAGGTAAAACCAGATACTAAAATAAGTTTATCCTTATTTTATCAGAATACCAGAGGATTAAAAACAAAAACTAATCTGATATTTAATTCAATAGCTCAAAGTGATGGTAGCGTTTTTGTGATAACTGAAACTTGGCTTGACTCATAAGTCAATAATTCAGAAT